TATATAAATATTTACAATATCAATTTCAAAATTTGTGTAACCTGACTGGCCAATCACATGAAAGTCTTCCTATGAACTTTAAACAATATCAATTCAATTGAAATTGATCGGCGAATCACGTGAACTTCTTCCTATCTCAGCAAAAAGTTGATTGCACGTGATTGTAAATCATTTTGACCAATAATAATAAGTGGCAATTAAGTATACTACAGTACTATGTCTAACAAAACTAATAGCACTGTAATTTATGGTCTCGAAAAAAAGGTGAGTTTCATTGGACAGTTAGAAGTTTGATATTCGCTTTTTGATTCCCGGTATTTCACCTTAATATAATCACAGTTTGAAGGTTGGGAAACGCTCTTGGATCCCGAAAATCTCAGTCTCATTGACATCCTAAATTTTCGTCGAAGAAAAAATGACTTCTCTTTTGATAAGCACACTGAACATTTAACGATATCTAAATTCTTGTCATATGTCACAAAAAACACACTAGACGAAAAGTGGAAGAAATCTACTTCCATTCTTAATGAAGTGCTAAAGGCGAGTATCTATTTTGATGTTTAGATGCAAAGGATAGTTGGAAGAAGTTGGGCTATTATGTCGAAACAACCATCTAAGTGGCCTGGCTACGCGTTGGGCTAGGAATGGGTTATTATATCCGGTGGGCTTCTTCCAGCTTTGTTACAAAATCTATATGGAGTCGGGCTATGTGTCGATGCAACCACCTAAGTGGCCTGGCTACGCGTCGGGCTAGGAATGGGTTATTATATCCGGTGGGCTCCATTCAAAATTACAAGACTTATTGAGACAAAAAAATTCAATAAAATTAGGAAATGCCTGAATATATTTTTCAACATGTTTTCTAATCAACTTGTCATATTTTCCTCTTAAGGATCAAGCAAAAACAGAAAATGTTATAGCGTTCTGGCTGGAGGCTGATTTGGAAAAGATTGAATTAGATCAGAAAATATCAAATGCGATTCTGGAGAAGAAAAAAACTGAACTAAAGCAGAAGGACGTTGATATAAAACTAACAAGGGTATGTAACGCTATGATATCATGAATACCCATATTTTACAGAAACCCTTATTAACCTTGTTGTTACTTTTCTTGTCTATAGGCAGAGTTTGTAGTAGAACATTCGGTGGCAGGGAATGAAGCGCACAAATTATTAAATAATCAAAGATTAAATTTTATTGACAGCTTGAACGATTCTATAGGTAAGAAAGCAATATGAGCTTCATTCTGTGGGATTTACGACTAACGTCAAACTTATTTTAAAACTTTGTATAGGCTCCCCAGTTGATTATTCAGTTGATGAAAAAGATGAAAAGGACGGTGATCACACTGAAGTAATTATTTATGACAGAATATTGTGCGTGTTCATGTTTTGCTTTGTTTTGGAATTACTAACAGCCACGAATGAAATGTTTTGTAGAGAGATGAGATAGAACCATCATCAATGCCAGTGGAGGAGAGCACTGGTTCAAGAAAAGTTCATAATAATTTTAAACGGAAATTGGACAATCAAACGGATTATGTAGATGAAGGACTGACGCTCTTGTTCGACGAAACAAACGAAGAAGCCCTTATGGAAAGCATTGACGAGAAAACTCTTAATATAGAGGACAAACTACCATTAACGAGAGAAGATAGTCAGTCACAATGTATGTGTGATGATATGGTGGAAGCCTTCCAAAAATATCAAGGCAAAATCCCCAAAACCCGTCGAGCGTTTACGTAAGTTTGTCTTTTTTGAATGATGATCGTTGCCTGATTATTAATATTTTTATTTACTCTCAATCCCATAGCCCTGCATATTGGGGAGTGCTCGATTTAACGAAAGAGAGCTTATATGGATGCAAGGAATTTACTGATGATGATTTAAAACAATTATCTCAAGATTTTGCTAATCACATAAAGTGGAAATGTGAACCTGTAAAAAAGAATGTCCAGGATTACTTTGATAGTAATTGTGAAGAGGTTAATAGCGATGAAAAACTCAGAAAATTAGACAGACACATTCAGTTTATGTAAGTATTATAAATTAGGTTCTTGTTACCTGTCATTATATCCTGACTCTGCTTGTATTGTTATATAGGAAAATCAATATGAATTCATTTCAAGGAATGCTTCCTGAGGAACAACTAAAAATGACATCGTCGTTTCCATTATTCCATGGAGTATTCAATTCAAGTCATATTAAGGATATCTGGTAAGCTAATTGCATTAATTTCCATTAGTAAAATATCAAATGTGAAACTTACATTTTCTATATGTAGGGGGGAAACTCAGGCTCTTTCGACAAATGATGCGCGAAATGAAAAAGCTAACCCGTTCAAGAAAGCACGGATGGGAAGAAAAGTGGACATGAAAGCAACTTTAATTAAGACGTCAAATAAATTCGAGGTTATTTACGGGGAAGTTGCAAGGGGTTTAGGACCACTAGGAATTCCAATGGCTTGCCCAAAAAAGCGGTTCTTAGACAAAGTAAAGTTAATGGTAATAATGCGTGACTCTATTAATCGTTTGTTAAATGAAATGATGTATGTGTCAGAAGAAACCCGAAAGAGTTTGATAGTTTACGGCTGGCTCCAAGTTGGTAAGTTAAACATAAGAAAGTTTCAGAAAATTCGTTCTCTAATGACTTTTATTTTTAGGTCTGGAATTGAATTTCTACGCGATGGACTGGTCAGGGTCAGGAATCTATAGATTTGGGTTGGTGGATTAATGCAGGATACCTGCAGACGGAGGAGATTGCTTTATGTTGGAAGACGCATATTGCATACTTAAATCGCTAGAGGTATATTGCTATTTTTTTTTTTTTTTTTTTGTTTATTGTAATTTACTACCAATTTCTAACTAATGGATCAACTGTAGAATAAATCGCTTGAAACAGAGACTACGGTGAGAAAACTGTTCTCAGAAAATACGAGGGGTAAACGACGCCTAATTGCACCTGAGACTAAAGCAGATTTGAACAAGAATCGCACTCCACAATATATGTAACAATGCTTATTAATTTTAATAATTCTTATAATTAGCTAAAATTATGCGGAATCACAATCAATAAATAATAAATAATCAATACTTAATTCTTTTGCACTCATTATTTTATTAGTTGTATTGTACTGTACATTAAATAACAATGTACAGTAAGTAAAGAATTGCTAGACTATCTATTAAACAATTACGAATTATAATTGAATTAGTTAATAAATTTCTTAATATTTTTTATCACACGAACGAATTTTAACACGAATTTCTTCACAGAATTTTTCTTGGTCGAATGTAGACTTTATAATGGCTTGGGGAGGAAAATCTGGTTTACAAAAAATCTTTGTTAAACTATGAAACGATTCAGAAATAAACAAAAATACCTGACATATCTTCACTTCCATTCGCTCCAAGTTCGTTGGCATCTATTAATATTAAGTTTTATCTTTTAATTATATAATAAAAAATTTAATGTTACTTAGAAGCTAAAAATTGTAATTTTTAATTTTTTAAAAAAATTTATTTTAAAATATTTTATGATTAATCTATGATAAACTTTTTAGAATCTTATAAAATTACTTAAGAAAAACTTCTATTATTATAATTTTTATAATTTATTAAAAATTTTATGACTTTAATTAATGATAAAGTGATTCAATTAGTACACAAACATAAATTTTTAAAATATTTTTAAAAAATTATTATAATAAATTTTTGAAACTTAATTTTAAAATTAAATTATTTTAAAAAACTTAAAATCTTTTTAATTATAAAGTAATTAACACTTTCGCAGGCAAATTTGCCTGCTATACAGTCTAAGGGATAAATTTACGAATAATTTATTTACATATAATTAATTATGTTATAAAAACACGTATTCCTTCATTTCTAAATAATAAATTACTAAATAAAATTTTTTTTTTTATTTTTTTGCACATGCACGAATAAACTTTGCCTAGCATATAGAATCTTTAAATATTCTGGGAACAGCATTTTTTTTTCAGTTGTCTCAAATAACATTAATAAATCTTAAAATATACCTTTCAAATTACAGGTATGCAAAATTTATCAAAACAATTTGAAAGTTAAAATTCATAAATCATTTCCATTTAGTCAACAAAATATAAATTTTTCTTTCGTGTTTACGACATTATAAACAACATAATTTCGTCATTTCATACTTTTTTTTTTATTCAGAGCCGTGAGCCTTTGGACAAAGTTTTATAATAGAATTTTCGATTATTTTCAACATAAGCAATGTTCTTTGATAATCCAAGGAAGTGTTGAAGTACTTGATGATAAGGAATATTTGAAATTTGTACAAGTCCAAATAAATAATAAACTTGTAAATATGACCATCTCTGATTATTATTTTTTTATTAGAGATTCGCATATGGCCCTAAATATAATACGTACTTAACAAATTGTTAGTTGGGAAAAATTTATCATTATATTGATATGAATTTGAAAGTACGCAAATGGACAAGTTTTTCCATAAATATTTGAAATCAAATAATGTTGTCCTAAACCTAATTTTAGCGTAATGAAACGAATTGTTTTTGAATAATTACAATTTGTTTACCATAAGATACAAATATTGTTTATTTTTGAATATATATAACATCCGTTCCAACACTTTGTTCGTCGCTTCGAAACATTGAAGGAAAATCCTGCTAGCTAATATTTGAACACGAGAGATGTGTTACAGAGCAAATGCACTTATATAATTGGTTAGAAATGATCAGTGGTCCATGCATAATTTTTCCGAATTATGAAAATCGCATCCTTCAGCTGAAAAGCAAGAGAGATTAGCAGACTCTAGGGGTTTAATTTATTATTAATTAATAAAAGGTCGATCAACGAAGTTGCACTTTAAATATAAGATAATATTCCAACTTTGGAAAATGAAAGATTTTTTTTATAAAACGCGTTGATTGGACAATGACTATTTTGCAAGTCACTCTGACGAATTTGTATGTTTCAATTGATCAATTGCCGAGCAATTTTCTCTGAAGATAGATGTTTGTGACATAAGCATGAGGTTCAAAAAAGGTTGATAGTGTCTCGCTTAATTTTCGTTGATGTAAGAGCTTTTCAAAGACAAGAAAAAAATATTGTGCCTGAACTTGATGATTTTGATGATTTGATAATAATTTACCATAAAGTATTTTTGGTGAATGGGTATTTTTTAAAAAATAAAAAAAAAATAATTAAATTACTAAGGAAAATCACATGCTATATTTTCAAACTGTAGCCATTTAATGCACAATCTTATACTTTATATTTGAAAGAAATATGAATATGAATTCAAATTCGGAACTATGAAAAAATTATTTTTGAATTTTACTCGCTCGGCAATTATTCCGGTAAATCTAATATCCAATATATTCTCTAATATTGAATTGTGTAACGACGATCACCAAATTTAGAAATGGTTCAATTAATATCAAGATGAAAATTATTTGTTTACTAGTCGTGAACTCTTGCTTGATTTTTGCCAAACCATTTTCAAATATTCTCCTGTAACCTTTCACTATTATGGACAGAGGAAAAAGAAACTTGACTCGAAACAACCGTATTACGAAAGAACCACCTCTAACTATTAAACCTCCCAAACATCCTGGTCGCGAATACAAACGACGCGGGTTACTAGGCGAGGTCTGTAAACAACTAATATTCTTAATTCCTTGAATAACTTCTATTAATACGTATTTTGATGTTGACATATTATATACGTTTTTAAATACATCAATGATCTTACAGGGTGGCTTTGGAAGGTGTTTTGAGGTAGAGACGAACGAGGGCAAGATACTTGCTGTCAAAGTTGTAGACAAAACCTCTTTAAGAAATCCAAAGAACAAAGATAAAGTAAGCCATCAATCCTTTAATAAAATTACTCGCACTTGAGTTACAAATAAGCTAACACAAGGTGCTGTGTCAATTTGAATTGATATTTAGCTTCTTAGCGAAATTGCTATTCATAAAAAATTGGATCATCCTCATATTGTCAAATTTTATGATTGTTTTGAAGATCAATCATTCGTATATTTATTAATGGAACTTTGTGAAAATAAGGTTTGTATCATAGTCTAATTATACTTTTGATGATTTTGATTTAATAACTTAAACAACTATACATAAGACCTTAGCTTCTATGAATAAAAAAAGACAACGCCTGACCGAGCCTGAAGTTCGATACTTTATGCTCCAGCTACTTGATGCGTGCGAGTATATGCAACGTCAATTTGTGATTCATCGTGATCTCAAGTTGGCAAATCTGTTTATCTCAAAGGATATGAAGATCAAAATCGGGGATTTTGGTTTAGCGGCACAATTGGAACGTGAAGGCGAAAGGAAAAAGTAAGGTTAATTTATTTTCTTTTATTTTTCATATCGTAATCTCATTTAACTCTACACATTAGAACCATATGTGGTACGCCGAATTATATCGCGCCTGAAGTCTTATTTGATCAGATGAACGGCCATAGTTTTGAAGCTGATGTGTGGTCATTGGGTGTTATCATGTAAGTTTATTTTAATAAACAAATTAAACGATATGTTAACAAGAAAAAAAAGGAATCTGATCGTAAAAATTTTATTTGGTTTTCCTTCTTGAAACATTGATTGCATGTATACCATAGATCCATCATGAAGTTAATTAAATTTTTTATTTTATTTTATAAAAATCAGGTACACACTATTATTCGGAAAACCGCCTTTTCAGAAGGGTGGAGAAGTCCATCAAATCTACAAGTTAGATTTTTTATTTTAATTTATTACTTTTGATTTTTAAATCTCGCACTTTTTTCACGTAGATAATAATATAATATCTTGATTTGATTCATTATATAGGAGAATTAGGGAGTTAAAATACGATTTCCCATCATGTATTACTGATGTCTCTATGGAAGCAAAGAAATTGATTAATCTCATGTTAACTTTGGATCCAGGTGATTTATATTTTCGTTTAAGATTTTTTTTTTTTTTTGGTCATTTAATTAAAAAATTTTTATTTCTTTACACTTCTTTCTTTCTAGAGGAACGGCCTACTATTCGCCAGATCTTGGATCACGAGTTTTTCCATTTAGGAGTGACCCCCACAACAATCCCAGTGACCGCATTAAATATTACGCCTTGTTTTGATGTTCCTAAATTAAACTTGCCAACCATTAATTCTTCACGTCCTATCAGACAGCCATTGAAAGTCCTACTTACCAATAATTTAAATAAGAAACCTATTGCTAATTCTGAAAATAAAAGTAAAAAGGATACCGAAAAAAAATCTGAAGATAAAAATAAAAAAGATAACGACAAAAAACCTGAAGATAGACTTACCGACAAAAAGTCTGAAGGTAAAAATAAATTTGTTAACGAAAAAAAATTTGAAGATAAAAATAAGAATCAGAAAGAAAAAAAATATGGAGATGAAAATAAAAAGGGCAATGAAAAAACATTCGAAGATGAAAATAAAAAGGATAACGAAAAAAGATCTAAGCTTGAATCTGTTGGTTCCTCTAGTGAGTATTTATTTATTTATTTATTTAAAAGCTCTAAAAAGTTATCATTAAATTAATTAATCTTTGTTTACAGGTAAACTACGAACCGGCGTTCTTGAATCAATCTTAAATACCCTTGAAATATCATTTAGAACACTTGAAAATGACAAAAATATAATATGCAATACTACTGGTGATAGTATGTAATGAGTACTACAATATATTATTTATCATTTATTCAAAATTTAATTAAATCCCTTCTTTATTAAGAAACACTTACACCTCGTGTATTTATAAATAAATGGATTGATTATTCAAATAAATATGGAATGGGATACCAATTGACTGATGGTTCCGTAGGTGTAAATTTTAACGACAAGACAACCTTGATCATGTCTCCCAACGGAAGGTTAGCCTTTTATGAATATTTTATTAAACTATAATGTACTTTTTCTTTCCAAACAGATAATGTGATTATAATTGACCAAGGTTCATATTTCCGTATAGTAATTTCGAATATATTTACAACAGTCGCATATCTTCTACAATAATTCCAACACGCAAATCCTATTTAGTAGCTAGTTGCCCTAAAGACCTACAAAAAAAAATGTATTTATTGAGAAACTTTCGTAATTATATGAACGAAACTCTTTCGAAAAGGGCACATTCATATGCTTTTGACGATAAAAATCGAATTCAAAATATGGAATTTCTTACAAAATTCAAAAGAACGCCTCATGCGATGATGTTTCGATTAAGCAATCGTGTTGTACAGGTACAGTGTCTTGATATTTTATTATTCTTAATTTTATAAAGATTTTTATTTAGCGATTGAATTATGTATGAACTTTGTTAGGTAAATTTCTTTGATCACGTGAAAATCGTGATATCAGAAGAAGGATATGTTATAACATATATTGATGAGACAAATGAGTTAAAGACGCTTGCTATTACGGAGTTTTTGAAATTGGATAATTCTGTAGAGATGAATCGATTGAAATATGTGAAGGATGTTTTAAAAAAATTAGTTGATGCAGCACATAAATCTAAAAAATTACCCGAAAAATAGAAAATAAGTATTTTTATATAGCACGTGATTTTATTTAAATAAATAAAAAAAAAAAGTTGCCAATCCTTTTTGGTTTTTTTTTGCTGTTGTTTGACTACATAAATGTCCAATAAACGTTTAGCACGTAAACGGACCAGAAAAAATTATAAAAGTGAATGAAATTCGTGGTTTCGATAGTTTGATCATTTTTAACGATAAATAATGGAAGAAATTGAAGCTACTCCATTAAGTTCTTTAAACGAAGGTACGTTGAAAGATCAATTTGTTAATTTTGCGCTCTTCAAAACTTATTTTTTTTTAATCAACTCATCCTTAGAAAAATCCCTCAAAACAGAAGAAACCCCTTTGGAAAAAGAGGAACCAATTATTGTCTATAATTCAAATTTGGTAGAATTGAAAAATGCTTGTGACGATTATATTCAAAAGGTTTTTATACTTAAGAAGAGAATTAATTAAAACCATGTCATCTTCGCTAAATATTATCAAATTTACTTTTAACATAAAATAGCTTTTCGAAAGTAAAGCTAATTTTCGACAAAATCACACCCATACTGATGTTAAGTTGGTGTTAGGATATTTGGCATGTGGTTTCGCCTTGTTTGGTGGATATTATGGACATAAGGTACCATTCAATGAGGCAAAAGATGTGACTCTCATGTGTATAATTGCGTATCCTTAATTTTGATTTTAATCCACGTTGAAATTCAATAATTATCTTTCCTTAATTTTAATTTTATAATTTAAACAATTTAGGTATTTTTTATTGAACACATTACTTGTATTATACTCCTTTATATTTGAAAAAGAAAGTATTTTTGTAGGAGAATGCGATGAGAGTGACAAAAAACATATAATCACAATTCAAACAAATACAAAAAGATATTCTGATATTTATAATATTATTTATGAATATGTTGGGAAAGAAAAACAAGGTTCTTCTATTAAAATTAGAAATGCTAAATTTACGCTTTCTAAATCTTTTGGAAATTGGTTTGATGTTAATGGTCAAATGGATACTGAAAGATTTGAAAGAGATTTATTTGAAGGATTAGACATTGTTAAAACTGGAAATAAACCACATGAACAATAAATTAATTAAAAAGAATAATTATAAATAATTATTATTTTGAATTTCCAAAAATAAATAGTAATTCAAATTTAAAAAATATGATTTGATATATTTTTTTTATTTATCAATATTGATATTGATCTAATCACTAATATAGAATGTTTTAATTAATAAAAATAATTTTGAATATTATAAAGAATCTGAATGCTAAACCTAGTTTATTATATAATTTTTTAAAAAATCAAGAAAAATATATTAATTAAAACTTTTAAAGTTTTATTTCCTTTTTGCTAAACCATCTAATCTATCCAGTTTTAATTTTAATATTACTACTTCTATTCCAATCATTCTAAATAACTATCCAGCTTGTTTATGATAAAATTTGTTTTTATAAAAATTGATAGAAAAAAAAGTCAAAAAAATTAGAAATAAAAGATTTTGAAATGATTTTTCATTTTCATTTCATCAATATAAGCATTACAAATATAAAAAGCTAATAATATTGTGGTATTGTCATTAATGATATGGGAATAATAACAATTAAAGAAACTAATCTATAAATGTATTTAATCAGGAATTCAGTTATGTATTTAGACAAAATTATGGAACTCATAATTATATAAGACCTTTACAATAGAAAATAAATAATAAAAAATGAGTTAACTTACTTAAATTTTATTCATTTGTTATGTTTAAATATTCGTTAGAAAGAAAATAAAATTTTGGATGATATATTATATTAATATTTAAAATTAATAATTGATTTATTTATTTTTTTTTTAAGATGTGATGAAGCATTTATTTATTAGAAATTCAAATTCAAATTACAAAGAAAATCCCAAAAAAGGTATAAAAGTAGAAAAATAAAGTAAAAGCTGCTTAGCCTTTTTCGAAGGAATAAATTAACTCCAACCAAACCAACTGGTTGTCTCATCACATTCAACTTCAACTACTTAGAGAAGAAATATCAGTATATGACAAAAGAAAAAAAATGCATTTGAGACAAGTAGTTTTCACTGCGTTAAAAAGAGGCAATGATCTGCTATGAGTAAAAAAGTTAGAAAATAGAGTTAAATGATTTATTTTATGTTCATCTATTGGTGTAGTATACAAAGAAGAAGTAGTATGACTAATATTTGATTTGCTACATTTTTTCTTGTTTATTATATTACAGATGAGTTCTTTGGCAATAGTTGAAGCATATCTGGGTTTTCAAATTAGAAGGATAACCTGATTAATAATAAGATCATAAAAAGAAGACAAAATAGCTAGAGATTTTTTTGGCACTTAGTAAAATCATTAATGAGTCAATAAAAATGAGAAAATACAATTCCTTTGATGAGATCAATGAAGGAGAAAGAGGAAGAAAGAGAAGGAAACAGAATCCAGTAAGGATGTGAGATATTGAATAAGAAATGTAATTCAGTTGACCATTATTTGCTAGATGTGTAGATGTAGAGTTTATCTTGAAGAGTTTGTATATCCTGCATAATAATGTTATTGATAAAAGAACGAGTCTCAGGGTAAGTCTAAATATGGTTGAAGGTTTCATCAAAGGAATTACAGCGATAATATTTCCAAGTAGAGTCGCATAGATCAGGAGAAGTAAGTTTGAGAAATTCTAAGGTAGGTAATTATTCGAGTAGGAGTTGATATCTTCGTTTGTGATAATAAGATTCTTTGTAAAAAGTTGTATTATTAGATTCGTGATTAATGTGATTGAAATGCAAAGCTAATTAACTGATTTGTTTTTGTATTGATTATTTCTTTGGAGATTATAAAAGTTAGCGAAAGATTTGGAGTTAATGTAGTTTTTAAAA